TTTCATTTACAGTGACAAAGAAAGAAAAAACAAAATCAAGAATGTTATCAAGCTCAAGGAACAAAATCTGCAGGATATGATGCAGTGTTCCATGGTACCTGGTTTCGTGTTATCCTGTTCAGTTCTTCCAAGATATGACTATAATCAGAATTAAGCAACTTTAGCAACTGTAATCGCTGTAATCAGAATATGAACGATCACGCTATCGCCATCATAAATAGGTAAAGAGGAACCATACAATTTTGAACTTCAAATCTCACATTTAAGCCACTGGGCATTATTATAATCTCAACTTCTGAAAAAATATGTCAATAGCAATAAAACATCTTTTAAAAGACATGTACATGCTGTAGACCCTGAAGTCAATGATTATATACATAGTCCAACCATGCAATTAAACTTGTATAACCCGCCACCGAACCCTCATTAATTAAACACTAGTACACAACATAAGATTTATTAATCATTATTTGGTTATCTTACAAATCAAACGAGACCCTATTGGATATATATGCTGTACCAACAAATTATAGAAGTCACCACTAATTTCAATTGTTGAAATATATAGTTTATCATTCCCCCTCTATCAGACCCAACGTATTTAAAGCTAATCCCATTAGATAAATCATAATCAAACATGACATCAGATAAATCATAATCAAACATGATGAATCATATTAATCGGAAGAAATAACAGAAACAAAAATCAACAGCTATCATCTAAAAATAAGAGATTAAATTCAACTAATTTTCGATGAGCTCGAACTTACGATTGATACGTTGTTGAAGTGGCGGAGAGAAGATATGGGGCGTACCTATCCAGTTGAAGGTGGAGAGATCAGAAAAAAAAATATTACTAGAGAGTTTTGCTAAAAAAAAAGATGATTAGGGTTAGGGTATAGTAAATTGAAGAAGAGAAGAAGATGATGGAAAAAGATTTATATTTTAATTAAAGAAGACGATCGTTTTTAATGATAAGTAATGATCGAATCTTACTTATTAATTTTTAATACTTTTATTTTTGGAAAAGTCATTAATATTTAATATTTAATTAAGTTTTAGTTTTAAGGGTATTTATGTAATTTTAATAATAACCCATGCTTCGTACTTTTTTAAACTGGATTCGTACTAATCATACGTGTCACATTCTTATTGGCTGATATTCAATCGTTTGGGTCCGAGTAGTACAGACCCTCTCGGACCCTAGACAACCCCAACTAACGGATCACACTTTATTTTTTTTTTATCCCTGTTTACATCCATCCTTAGCACGTTCTATGTTTATCTCTCATATAACATAAAAACGACGAAGAAAATGAACAAAACCGCAACCCCAACTCTTTTAAAAAAAATATAGAAAAACTATTCTCCACAACTGTTGGGAGGCATATTAATTTAATAAAATAATAAATAAATAAAAAGAGGAGGTGGCAGCCCAACCTCCATGATATCAATGTTGATTAGGTCCAATAGAAGACCAATTTACTTTTTATCTCTTCGCAGTTTGGACCACAACATTAGATATTTCGAAAATTTTAAATTAATATTTAATGCTTTTAATCATGTGGTTATCTTAATCATCCCAATAAGACAATCTTGGCGTCGCAATTAAGAAATTAAGATGATCTCATGGGCCGGTTAATTGACCCCACTCTTTGCACACCCATTATTTTTTTTTATAACAAATTAAAAAATAATAATATAGTTGTAAGCATGCACATTATTATGTATATTAAATATACTTAAATGTGCTATTTTCCCCAACGAATATGCTGTCGAACTTGATATTCCCTCCGTTTCTAAATAGGTGTCGGTTTTATTTTGGCACAAATTTTAAAGATCTCAATAAAAATGCCGTGATTTTAAGAAAATGATATTAATTGATCAAAATACTTTTATTTATTAATTAATGCAAAAATATAGTTGGACATTTAATAAGAGTATGATAGAAAAATTATAATTAATACACTACTAGAATTGTAAAATGACTGATAAATATAAAACAAAAAAAATAAAAAATTCTCAAACGAGACAGATATTGTGGAACGTATAAAATAACTAATAACCAAAAACAGTCATTTGGTAAAAATAAAAAAAATAAAAAAAAATAGTATCGTTTCGTAAGATAAATTGAGTGGACCAAGAATATGACATACATGCACTGAACGGGAACTTGTGTTGCTATCAAGTATCATCACATTTTAAATCTTGATAAATATTTAAAATATATAACATTATTCTAATGTCATTTTGTGTTCATCCTTTCAATAAATACAAAATACAAAATAAAAAATAAAAAAATCAAAGACATAAAACATATTGTATACTCCCTCCCTTTTGTTAAGTCACGTTTTAGTAAGAAAAAAATATTTCATATCTACAATTTATAATATATATATACATACAATTTTACTGAAGACCAAAATTATTTTATCCAACTTTTTTTTTTATTATTGATTTATCCAAATTTTGACATTAGTGACAAATTAATGAAATGGGAATGATAAGATGAATGTTCATGAAAGAGTAATTTTGTCAATTATTAATTTTTCCCGCTGAAACTAATTATCTATGGTTTTTTTTTTTTACATGATTTAAATAAAAAAGATAGACATGATTTAAATTATTATCTGTAATTTTTTTAGTTTGCCGTATAATGGATGATCAAAATCTCTTCATACTGGAATATTTTGATGTCAACTAGCTACAGCTTCTATAGTCACAATTTAAAGCATAAAGTTCACTTTGCAACCATGAATTATGGTGTGTGTCTCAAACAAATCTCTTAATTACGAAATATATCAAATACCCTCTCATGTTTGTATTCCACCCTCCCCCCCCCCCCCCTCCCTTTCTTTTTTTTTTTTTTTTTTTTTACCTTTTTATCCCTATTGTGTAAGGGTTTAAAGCCTATATGTACCTTATTTTGTTACTTTTATTTTTCTCATTTTTTAATTTCAAATTTGTTCATTTTTTCCTTATTAGTTTCCCTCTTAATTTCTCTATAATTTCCAGCTCTAGAACAATTAATAACTCAATTTTATATAGCAATCCTAATCAAACAACATTAGCAATTGGATTCCTAATTTATTTAATTAAACCAAATATCTCAAAGGCTAAACATCTCACTGAATATAAATCAAACTCTTAATATGTTCAAACACTGTATCGGTCATTATAACCTACAAAAGAATATGCTCAAATTAATAAAATATTAAAATAAACTAAACAATTGCTTGATTGTCATCCATGTACTATTTTCAAGATGAGCTATGTTGGAAAAAATGAAAAAGGTAGTGACTTTAATTTGTATTTTATTTTGACTGAAATATTTTTAAGTACTAAAATTCACGTATATTTTTCATGGACTAAATGTGGGGGTAAGATTGTAATTGGTTAGGAAAACATTATAAAACTAATGTCTTTAGTGTCCGTTTGGCTAAGCTTATTTTAAACAACTGATAAGTTATTACGTCTGGTAAGATGTTTTACATCTTATTTTTAGAACTTATTTTAAAGTGTTTGGATAATGATCTTATAAGCTATTTTTACTCATTATGCGATCTTAAGTAAAAAAAATGGGGTAGAGGTACTTTTAAAAAAAAAATCTTATTTGCTCTCCAACAACTTATTTTTAAACTAATTAAGATATTTTCATAAAAAATTACCCAACACTTTGGAAGACCTTATAAGCTTTTAAACATCTTATAAGTTCTTTTTAACATCTTATAAGTTTAGTCAAACACCCTATCAACATTTTTGTAAGCTTGACCAAAAAATATAAGGGTGTATTTGATACGTTTCGTAATTAATGAATGTATATACTATATACGATAAATTCCATAGTTCAGGGGTGTAAAGTGAAGTTCGCCCTTAAACAAGGTTTTTTCACATAAAAGTTCATGTTAGCGGACATTTAGTTTTTCTCACACCAATTATGATAATTGACAACAATTGACTCCTATTTTAAATATGGCTCAAGTTCGATCAACCATCTTTATTATTCTAAGTTTACGTGTTCGGTCTGTTTCGTCAATAAACTCATCCTTTTAATATTTATTTTAAATAAAGAAAAATTTAATATATATGACAAAATTATCCCTAACCCTTTAAATCAATTTATAATTGTAGCACTAATTTAACTTAAATTTCATCAGCTTTAACCATAAAAATCCAATTTTAACTATTTTTTTTTTCAAACCTTTTTCTTATGACTTTTTTTTTTGCCGATGGTTTCCGGTGTTGACCGAGAGTTAACTTACTTTGTATTTTGGAAGGGCATAGTACTTGTTTTTGATTTTTTTTTTCAAGGGAAAATGCAAAAAGTGGGTTTTTCAATCGGCAAAATGCATTGTATCTTTAAATTTAATAATTAGGGAAAATTACGGCCTCCTGAGGTAATGTCAGATTACGAAAAAACACTTTATGTTTGTGTAATTACAGCCACCTTCTCAACTATGAATCTTGTTACATGTCCACCCTAGTGGTGTCAAATTTAGTGGAAATTTCTAAATTATATGAAAATATTCTCTTGTTTGTACCCATTTTACGCCATTCAAGCTCCAACTTTTTAAATAAGATGATTATAAAATGTGTCTCTTAACTTGTAAATATCAGATTGTGGTGTATCTGAAACTACATTTTTTCACAAAACAAGTACACACTTGAGAACATATTAGTGATCGTAGAAGATTCTGTTAAATTTGATACGATATGGATAAATGTGTAAGAAACTTCATAGTTGACGGGTAATTGTAATTACCCAAACATGAGAAGTTTTTTCGTAATTTGACCTTACCTCAGGGGTTTGCCGTGATTAATTTATTAAGACCTCTGCTTGGTTGATAAACTAACATTGATCAATTGAAAATTCAAACATTTATTTCATGCTTGTCTAATCCAATAAGTTTATAGGAAAAATGAGTTATTGTCTTATTAATTAATTTAAAAAAAATGTATATTTGCAAAAAAAAAAAAAAAAAAAAAAAAACGAGGCCAAGTAAAAACCAAAACATAACAAAGTGGCATTCCAAATATAACAGACGCGAAAATGTACAAAAATAGAAATTCCATCCTTAATGTAGATCAGAAAAAAACACAGATCTACTAGGGTTGGATATATCAACAAGGAGAACACAAAAACCGTCTCCCTCTGTGCTGATGATCAAACTCCTAATGCATACATACTACGTACATAGTGATCATATGAAACTAAATTACATGAAATGAAACTCAGAGGGGCCTTAAATACGCAGCCTTCTCTGCACCTGATGCCACTGCCAATGCAACTAGACCATGAGAGAGAGAGAGAGAGAGAGAGAGAGAGAGAGAGAGAGAGAGAGAGAGAGAGAGAGAGAGAGAGAGAGAGAGAGAGAGAGAGAGAGAGAGAGCTGCTCTCATTCTAAAAACAGAGAAACAGAGGAAGAGTTTGGGTTGAGAGAGAATGGGGTTAGTTAATCTTGATCCTTCCAAAAGAAGGTTCTTGCCGGAAAAGAGGAAGGAGAAGAAGAAAAAGATGATGATGTTGATGAAACTTTATGACACTGATAATCATGTTGAGTCTCTTGCTGCTTAATACTCCCAAAAGGAGGAAGATTGGGAGGCAACGATAGATTATTATTGGCATCGAAATTATCCCAAACAGAGCTCCCCGGGCCCCACCCTGCCGGTATCGAATCGAACCAATCCTCACCCGTATCACCCCAAACCAATTCCGAAGATGGATCATAGTTCTCCGCATTGGCTTGAATCTGATAGTCTGTTTCTGTAGTCTCGCCCGACCAGAATCCTGAATTTTCTTCAGGGTTCTTGGCCGGCAAGCCAACGCTCTCTTGGGCCGGTGCGGGCTCGGGCTCAGGCTCGAGCTCAAGCACCGGTCCAGTGGGAGACGTTGTTCCTACTTGTGGTGGTGGTGGCGATGTCACCGGTTCTTTGTCTTTACCAATGAAGAGTTCTGGGAAATTGAGCCTAGCATTGTCTCCTCTCAACTTGTAGGCCTCGCGGTCGTAGGCCATGGCGGCATCCTCTGCCGTGTCGAAAGTTCCGAGCCAGAGACGGGTCCGGTTTTTGGGGAGACGAATCTCGGCCACCCACTTGCCCCAGTGTCTTTGCCTCACTCCTCTGTAGAGCCTCGTAGTCGAAAGGGGCGGAATCGGGGGCCTAAACAAGGCGGGCCCCCTCCCACCGTTCTGCCCCAATCTGTTCATCATCATCATCCTCCCTCTCGGGCTCAAATTCAATGCATCGCTCCAATACTGCAGTAATTGCTGCTGTTGGAGCTGCAAAGAATTTGAAGACGAAGATGAAGATGAAGATGATGACAAAGAAGCTTGTTCCCCTGCAAAATACGAGGGGAACGAGAAATTCTGGTGCGGGTACTGAGGAGAGAAAGAAATCATCTGATGAGTTTGATGCGGTGGCTGAAAATACGGGATCGGAATCGATTCCTGCTGGTGGTGTAGATTTTCCGGTGGCGGCAGCGGTGGTGCTGAGATATTTGAATTGTCGATGGCGAAGGGAAAGACGAGGCCCGAATAAGGAGGCGGAAAAGCCATTGGAGGTATTTCTTGTTGGCGTTGAGGACTTCTGACTTTCTTGAGAGGCCTATTATTAGTATTATTATTTGAATTAATGGAAGCTTGATCATAAAATACAGGCTGCTTCCAATTTTCTTGCCTCTCACTATCATCACTCTGCCAATTCATTTGGTTCATCTTCTTCGATTTTCCTTTGCTTCTAACTGAATCCATCAACACCAAACAAATCAAGAATCAAATATTTTCGCCGCTCGCTCCGAGGAAAAAAAATCGAAAAAAAAAAAAAGAATTTCAAGAACAGGACAAGAAGGGATTAATCTATTTTTGGGATGGATCACAAATTCGAACGAAAAAATGAATAAGAAGGGACTAATTTCAAAAACCCAGATGCTAAAAATTCACTGGGAATTCATAAAAAGCAAGTCCCAAATGCTACAGAGAAAGAAACTAAAAATCAGAGGAGAAAAGAAGTAACGAATTTTTCAAAGAATCCATCCCAAATAGTAAAGATTTTATATGTAGGTAATAGAGCGAGCGGCTTTTTCAGAAAATTTAATGTGAACTCCAATTTCAGAAGATTTGTAGGAGAGAGAGAGAGTGTGTGAGTTTGAGAGAGAGAGAGAGAGATTGTATTACTATTATTATTAATTAATTTGAGAAGTGAGGGAAGAAAGGAGGGGGGAGTGCAGGGGGTTTATAAGAAGGAAGAAATAGATTTGGTGTATGTGTAGAAGGATCCTGATTGGTCTATTTCTCCTTATTCGGGTCCCACCTCTACGCGCCTTCTTCTTCTTTTCTACTATACTGTTCTTTTTTTTTTTCACTTCCGTTGCTTTTACTCCAACCTTCATATTATTATTATTTTTATTCTTTTTTTTTTCTTTTCCTGTATTTTTTTTTCTTTAAATTCCCTTTCTATAAATTGATTTTTAGCAAATGGTAAAAAGGGACATGATAAATGACTTAAATACACATTGGTGCACAAAAAAAAAAAAAAAACAGTCTTTCAAATAAAAAAACTTTGAAAAGACGACAATGTGTTTCAGCCCAACGACCAATCCGGACATAATCGATCGTATTCACGGTGTTCTTGGATTTCATGTTGTGGACAGTCATGAAAAATATCTCGGCATGCCGGCGGCATTGGGAAGGTCTCGTAGAGAGATCTTTTTGCACCTCCGAGATAGAGTGTGGAGTAGAATTAAAGGATGGGGCGAGAAACATCTATCTAGGGCGGGGAAGGAGATTCTAATCAAATCCGTTCTACAAGCAATCCCATCATACTTAATGAGCTGCTTTGTCCTTCCGAATGGGCTACTACAAGAAATCGAGTCAGCTATCGCAAGGTTTTGGTGGGGCGAGGACTCAAGGCGAAAAATCCATTGGATTTCTTGGCGCAACTTGTGTGAATCCAAGCGGAATGGTGGTATGGGCTTCCGGGACCTTAGGATGTTTAATTTGGCTTTGCTGGCGAAACAATTATGGAGAGTGTTGACGTCCCCGGATTTGCTTCTTTCACGTATTATCAGAGCTCGATACTTTCCAAGTGGAGATATTTTTAGAGCTGATGCAGGCAAAAGACCGTCGGCGACATGGCAGAGTATGCTCAAGGCTCGCCCGTTCCTAATTAGAGGGCTTCGTCGCCGTATTGGAGATGGCAAGGACACTTCAATCTGGGCCGATCCTTGGTTGCGAGATGATGGTAATTTCCAGATTATTACTAGACGGCCCATTTATTCGAGCTTCCCAGACAAAGTTGCTGATCTGATAGATCCATTGACAAATACATGGAATGTCGAGCTCATTCGGGAGCATTTTTGGGATATTGATCAAAACAGAATTTTGGAAGTCCCTATTGGAAGTGTATACGTTAAAGACCGATGGATATGGCACTATTCCAAGAATGGCCTATTTTCAGTTCGGTCTTGCTACCATGTCGTTATGCAGGGGACTCAAAACTCGAATGGTAATTGCCGAGGTGGGATAGAGTCGACAAGTGGTCTTCATCCTTGGAGATGGCAACTTATTTGGAAGGTTAAAGTCCCACCGAAAATTAAGGTTTTTCTTTGGTATGCATGCTGGGGCATACTTCCGACAAACGCGGAGCTACGAAGACGCAAAATTATTCACTCGCCGGAGTGTCCTCGATGTGGGTCTCCCGTGGAATCCATTATGCATGCTCTAACTGAGTGTGGTGGAATGAGGGAAGTTTGGGAATCGGATCCATTTAGACTAGAGCTGGAAGATTACTCATCTGTTTGGAAATGGATCGAAAAGCTACAAAGTAAACTTCGCGAAGAGCTATTCTTACTAGCTGTGGTGGTTATGTGGAAGGGGTGGGAAACACGGAATAAAGTGGTGCATGGAGAGACAGGGCTGAAGTCAAAGCGGATGGTGGATTGGAGTCGGGACTACCTACCTACACGCATTCTGGCAGGCACTACTTCCATCAGCAACTAGAATCGAAGCTACACACCAAAGTCAATGGAAAGCGCCTCCTATTGGGTCGATAAAAATTAACTGTGATGTTGGATTTCCATCGGGGAAGAATTTCTACACAGTAGCGGCTGTGGCTCGAGATAGCGAAGGCAATTGTTTGCGTTGGGGTATTCAAAGTTTGGAAGGCTGTCCACGGGTAGAGGATGGTGAAGCCTTTGCTGTTCTTCATGCACTAAGGATGGCCCAACTCCAAGGTTGGAGCTCAATCATTATTGAAGGAGACTGCTTAGAGGTGATCAACACGTTTAAAGACGGGATTCTCACGCTCAACTCTTTTGGCTCATTTGTTGAAGAAGGTTTAATTATTGCTCGTTTATTTTCTCATTGTGTATTTCAATTTGTTAAACGTTCCGGAAATCTTCTCGCTCATAGACTAGCTACTCAAGGCTCTTTTATTTGTACTGAGGATTTCTCGTTGCCTCTGAACTTGGCCATGGTGGCCTAATAATATTGCTATTCTTGCTGTCAAAAAAAAAATAAATTCATCTCCATGTCTTTAGTCTAAAATACCCTTTCATAGTATAATTTTTATCAATTCCATTAATTATGCTCTAACTTCCTTAATATTAAACATTGACCCCAGATTTAAACAAATATATCACGTTAACCCCCATTTTAATATTTTTTGAAAAAATATTTTTACTTTTATTTTACGAGGCGGTTCTCCGGCGTTGTCTTTTTTTTTTTTTACTTTTTTTTTTCCGGCCGGTCAACGGCCAGTCTTCGGTGTTGACTTTCTTTTTTTGATTTTTTTTTGAAATTCTTTTTTTTCATAGAAAAAAATATTTTAATTGATATTACTGTCTTGTCTGCTAAATTACTGTCTCAGACAATAATATTACTGTTTGGCGGTCAACAGCGGTTGGTCTACCGGAAAAAATCAGGAAAAAAAAAGTATTCAAAAAAAAGAAAAGAAAAGAAAAGTCAACACCGGAGACCGGCGGTCAACGGCGGCTGACCGCCGGTCTCTGGTGGTGGCGGGTCAAAATTGATTAATTGGTGAAATTGGGCTAAATTGGGGTGTAAATCATGAAATTGGAGTTGAATTGAGTTTCAATGAATTAGGGGTAATTTTGGTATATATAAAAGTGTTTTCCTTATTTGCAAATAAGTTTGAATGAACTAAAAATATTTAAAAGACAAAAAAGTTAGATGTTTTTTTTTTTTTTTTAATTAAGTGCCCTTGTCATGAACCTATTTACCATTTGCCCTTGATTTATTTATTGGGAGAATTGCATACTATAAAAAGGACTTAAATGCATATATATATATATATATATATATATCTCCAGATAAAAAATAGTTTTTCAAATAAACTAATCCCTGTCTTTTGTTCAAAATATCTCTCGTAATATAATTTATTATACTCTAACTTCATCAATTTTGTCATATTGACCCCATATTTGAACAAATATATTACACTAAACTATATTTTCACAATTTTTTTGATTTTTTTTTTGCCAAATTTCGGTGTTGATTGCTCATCTCCAGCGTTGACTTTTTTTTTTTTTTTTTTTTTATAATTTTGAATTTAAAAACTCATAAACTATGTGTTAACAACAATATTATTGTTTGAGACATTAATACTGAAGGCTAATGCAGTAAAATTAATATTAACACGATAATATTACTAATATTACTATCCCTAAATAGTAATATTACTGTCATGTCGGAGACAGTAATATTGCAGGACAAGACGATAAAATTAATTAATACATTAATATTACTGTTTTACAATAATATTACTATTTATGACAATAATATTACTGTCTGAGACTGCAATATTGCAGGCCAAGACAATAATGTTAATGAAAATAGTTTTTCAAAAGAAAAAGAAAATATTTAACGCTTGATATCGGCGGTCTAAATTTGGGTCAAAATCAGTGGACTAAATTAGGTTTGAATCATGAACTTGGAGTTGAAGTAAGGTTTCAATGAGTTGGGGTAGTTTTAGTATATATGAAAGAGTTTTCCATATTAGGAAATAAGTTTAAACGAAGTGCATATATTTGCAAGATAAAAAAATAGGATGTCCATTTTTCACTTAAGTGTCCTTGTCATTGGTATTTGCAATTTGCCTTTTTTTATTTGGGATGTTTGAGTCCCTCGTGCCAGACTTAATTATGCTTGCAAAAGTTTTTACAAATAGATTATGACCTTTTTTTTACTCATAATTTATTAGTATTTGCAAAATGAATTTTTACTGTTGCTTCTCTTAAATAAGCAACTTTAAGCTATAATTCGTTCAACACCTATGATCCTGTTTTTTTTATTTAAGTTTATTTTCTGGTAAATACAATTATTATACTAGTAGTGAAAGTTGCTAAACGTTGTCATATTAGAATGTGTGTGTGACAGAACAAAAAATGTGATCATCAACTAATTTATTCTTATCAAGTTTTGAAGCACACAAAAAATGATAAGTTTTGCAAAACATTCATATACTAAAGACATGTAAATTGAATATAACATCTCAAACATATAGGATATATTGTCGTTTTTATCCAAAATTGTATTTAAGAAATAAAACATTGACATAAAATCCACACTCAGTACTTGTAAATGATAATGTCAAAAAACTGATAGGCATACATCATATTATTAATGATTGAATTTTTTTATTGACAAAAGAACATGCGACCACTCAGAAGTGCAATGGGTAAATTAAGTCTTCGTGCAATAACTTGCAAGCAATACATGAGATGTAAATCATCATAATTAGTTATGTGTAACAATTTCGACCTAAAAGTTTTTGACAAAAAAAAGTCCGAACTCGGAGCGCATAACATTATGTTATTTTGTTTCACCAACTAGATCATAGTAAAATTATGGGGAAACTACAGATAAATCCCTAATCCAAAACTCAAAACACAGATCAGTCCCTAGGTAGTTTCCCCAAGCAATTCAGTCCCTACTCACGCGCCTAACATGCAGATCAGTCCCTAATAAAATGTGCAAATACTAAAATACCCTTTACTTTATATTAATTTTACATAACTTCTTTTCAACTTCCAACGCGCCGTTTGTATTACACGCTCTTTGCCAGTTTATACCCATTTTCAGACCAAGAAGAAACAGAGAAGAAACGAAGAACAAAGAAACGAAGAACAAAGAAACAACAAAGAACGAAGAAATTACGAAGCACGAAGAATCAACAAAACGCAGAAAAATAATAAAGCGAAAGGAAAAATAAAAATAAACAAACCCATTTATAGACAATGGTGAAGCATGGTAAACAACAAGGTTTGATTTTTTTTTTTTTTTTTTTCATTTTATTGGAAACAGACCCATTTGGGTGTTGCTTGAGCTTGCAAAAGGTTAATTTGTTATAGAATTGCATGATTTTGAACATATCCACTCATGGGTATTATGCCTCGACTTTATTCGGTGTTTCCCCTAATCATTAAATCGGTTCCAATATCTGTTGTTCTGTTGTTTGGGTTTGCAAAGATCATTTATTTG